GGGGGGGGGGGGGATTAAAACGGGGTGGAGGTGATGTCACACCGTGCCTGCACAGCAAAACACACACACACACACGCACACGCACCCACCCACCCAACACACACACACACACACAAACACACGCACACCCCCGGGAGGAGCGGGTGCTGCCAAGGGAGAGCGATCCGGCCCCACGTCACTCGTGCCACCGGTATAAAAATGAGGTCCCGCCATGTCCATGGCTGTCGGCGCCGGGGAAAGGAGAAGGAGAAAGGAGGAGGAGGAGGAGGAAGAAGAAGAAGAGGAAGAGGAGGATGCTGCGCGCCTTGGTGGCGGTGTCCCTGTGGCTGCGGGTGAGCCCACGGGCGCAGGGCGCCCCGTGCGAGGCGGTGCGCATCCCCATGTGCCGCTCCATGCCCTGGAACATCACCCGCATGCCCAACCACCTCCACCACAGCACCCAAGAAAACGCCGTCCTGGCCATCGAGCAGTACGAGGAGTTGGTGGCCACCGGCTGCAGCCCGGTCCTCCCTTTTTTCCTCTGCGCCATGTACGCCCCTATCTGCACCCTGGAGTTCCTCTACGACCCCATCAAGCCCTGCCGCTCCGTCTGCCAGCGGGCCCGCGACGGCTGCGAGCCCATCATGCGCCGCTACAACCACAGCTGGCCCCACAGCCTGGCCTGCGACGACCTCCCCGTCTACGACCGCGGCGTCTGCATCTCCCCCGAGGCCATCGTCACCGACCTGCCGGAGGGTGAGCGCCCCAACTTGGGGGGTAAAAACCTACCCCCCCCCCCATCCCCCCCCCCCCCCATCTCTGACAACCCCTCAACCCTTTCCCCTTCTCTTCCCCTTTGAAGAGCGGTGCAGGTGCAAAAAGACAAAGCCAACGCTCTCCACCTACCTGGCCAAGAACTACAGCTACAGTAAGTCCATGGGGGGGGGGCTGGGGGGGTGGGAAAAAGGGAGAATAATAAGGGAGACCTTATCAACGCCTACAAGTATCTCAAGGGAGGGTTGAAGGAGGAGGGAGCCAGACTCTTTTCAGTGGTTCCCACTGAGAGGACGAGGGGCAACGGGCACAAGTTGGAACATAAGAGGTTCCACTCAAATATGAGGAGAAACTTCTTCACGGTGAGGGTGACAGAGCCCTGGAACAGGCTGCCCAGGGAGGGTGTGGAGTCCCCTTCTTTGGAGATTTTCAAGACCCGTCCGGATGCTCCTGAGTAACATGCTCTAGCTCTAGGCAATCCTGCTTCAGCAGGGGAGTTGGACTAGATGATCTCTATGGTCCCTTCCAACTCTAGAAATTCAGTGAAATTCAGTGAAATTCTCTGTGCCCATCCCTGCAAGTTGGGCATCTCCCCAGGGGGAGGCTGTACCCACACCAAGCCCCATCCCGCCAGTGTGGGGCGAGGAGACAATCCCAGCTTTTCCCAAGTGGGTTTTTTCCCCGGAAAAAAAACAAAAACAACGTTTTTTTTTCCCCAAACCCACTCACACCAGGGGTGTGATTGATTGATTGATTCCGATTGAAGCCAGGCTCACACCTGGTGCAGGGCAGCAGTAATTATTTCGCCGACGACTGGGGTGTTTCCTACAAAAGCGGTGAAAAGTGGGTAACGCGCCCCAGTTTCTGGGGCAGCAGAAACTTCCCTCTTTAAAAGTTACTCTGATAAATGAAATTGCAACTAACACGAGCTTGGCTGCTCGGCCAGCTCCTGTTCATTCTCCTCCAGCACATGGAATAAAGGGAGGTTTCTCCCCTAAATAAAACTGGTTAAACGCGTGTGAAGCTGAAGCGAGGTAAAAAGTTGCTGCTTCCCAAAGGCGTGTGTGCTTTTCCTTACGGGGTGAGCCTGGGTTTTCACCACCTGGCACGGGATTGTCGGAGGTTAATTGAATTCCGAGGCAATTTGCATGAGTTGGCCAATAGTTTTATGGTATTAATTTATCGCATGACATATTGGCAATATAAGTATTTATCGCTCATCCCTTCTGGCTCCCCACCCCTCCTCCGGTTTTCTGATGCTGGGGGTCAGGAAGAAGTCTTAATTAATATTAGATAAATACCTAAATACCTGTAATGTCAGTAGAAACACACACACCCCCCCCTTAACTATGAATTTCACGTTCAGTCTCGTGGTCTTTTGTGCTTTCTGGGCTTTTTTCTCAGATAAAAGTTATTTTTTCAAGGGGTGTATTCAGTTCTTATGCAATGGGGTTATTGTATTCAGTCAAGTCGTATTTTTCTGATACCAAATGAAAGTAAGTTTGTAATTATTTGCTTCTTTGTTAGTATAGAGGGCAAAAAATAATCCAACCCTCAGTTTGGTGGGAATGATCAGGACTTGGGTAATTGTACGCTCTTTTGTCATGGTAGTTTGGTGGGAATGATCAGGATCACTTGGGTAATTGTACGCTCTTTTGTCATGGCATTTTGGTGCATTTATGTCGTATATTCTTTTTATATAGTTCCTTAATCCATCTCAGTACAACATAGTGATATCTTCAGGTGGGACAATGAACTTCCACAGTTGTCTGAAATAGGTGGAAAAGCAGTGATATAAAATGACTATTCCAAAATGAAATACAGTTGTTAGCCATACAAATTCCAATTCAAGTGACTTCAGTGGGTATGTTGCTTGAATAAAAAGCTGTAGGCTGGGGTCCAAAATTTAATTCAATTGGATTTGTGAAAATCAAGATGCTGTTTTTGAGAGATGGATTTTTATTCAGTCTCCTCTGAAACAAATCGACATGTTCATATGGAAAATGAATTGGGAGAGAAGACAAGGCAGAAAAAGCTGCAAATAACTCCTTTTTTTTTTTTTTTTCTGAAATCCTTTAATGTAGGCTGGGGTCCAAAATTTAATTCAATTGGATTTGTGAAAATCAAGATGCTGTTTTTGAGAGATGGATTTTTATTCAGTCTCCTCTGAAACAAATCGACATGTTCATATGGAAAATGAATTGGGAGAGAAGACAAGGCAGAAAAAGCTGCAAATAACTCCTTTTTTTTTTTTTTTTCTGAAATCCTTTAAAATATTATTTACAGCCAAATTGTATTTCTAACTGATCAAAACTTGGTTTCAATCAGGCTTGAAAATGAATTGGGGAGTCTCTGAAACCGGAATCTCTCATGTCTTTTGTGGCTGTTACACGTGTCCTGAGAAAGTTAGCACGTAAACCCCAGACTGCATTAAAATTGCCTGACTCTTCTCTTCTACAAGTGAAGGTGATTCCAAACATCTGTAGATCCATTTGAAGGCTTTGGACCTGGTGGCTTCCAGGGGGTGGCACTGCCGCAGGCTGGTCACGCTGCGGTACATCCATACACTGCTCGTGCTTCATTCACTGAAGAGTTGGGTTTTTTAAAGCTTGATGATTGGCCCCTTCCTATTTCAAAACTTTCTAGAGACGAAGTCCTTTGTGTAAAAATTGGGCTGCTTTTCTCCGATTTGGTACTTCTTCCAAGAGAAAGTGGGCGAAATGCTGCAGTGGTAGGTAGTGCTGGGGTCTGCAGGTGCAGAATTAGCCAGGGATCATCCTCAGGGCAATCCACAGTTTCACCTGCTTGCAGACAGGCAGTTTTCCTCAATAAAAGGTAAAATAGGAATATTTGTTTATTAATAGTCAGAAGAACCCGTTTTAGAGTAAATCACAATAATCCTGAGCTCCCTAGTGTTTGACTACTTGTTTCACATCTTCCCTTCTTTATTATACTTAAGAAAAGGCTCTAGTTCCTGAGTGCAATCTAGAGGGAAATGATTTTATTATTGAAAAGACTGGATTCCTGCTCACTGTCCATGAGGTAAATTACTCGTTACTTAATTGGAAATAGCTGGATGGGGGCTACGGAGCGCATCTGATTTATGCGAGGGGTCGTTCGGGTCCGAGTCGAAGGAGCTGTTTGTGTGTGCAATTCCAGGCCAGATCTCTTGGCCTGATCTGGCACAGATTTGAGCACATGTTTAATTTCACAATTGTCAACAGTCCTACGGAAAACCCAACCGGCCTCTGTTATTCCAAGCCACTGTACATGCCCACACGTGAAGAAGTAGCTCTAATTTCACAGAGAAAAAAAAAAAAAATTGATTTCAATTTAATGTATTTTATTTAGTTCTGAGGCGTCTTTAAATTTCTAAGACCATTTGTTCTCATGCCCCTGTTTTTTTTTTTCTGATTGCAGTCATTCACGCTAAAGTAAAAAGCGTAGAAAGAGGGAACTGCAATGAGATAACGACGGTGGTTGACGTCAAAGACATCCTCAAGTCCTCCACGCTGATTCCTCTGTCTCAAGTGCCTCTTCTCACAAACTCCTCCTGCCAGTGTCCACCTCTTCAACCGAAGCAGGATGTCCTCATCATGTGCTATGAATGGCGCTCAAGGTGAGCCCTGGCCATGTGGTGCAGAAAAGTGTTATAGCTGGGATAGACGGGAAGAAGGACCAGCAAAGCTCCTCTCCTCATCATGAGCATGTTCTGCTGATAGTTTTTCTTAGGATGACTCGCACATACCTTACATGTTTCAGTGACCTTCGCAATTAACTTTGCTCACTCAATCAGCCAAGGCTCTGCACCGTGATGGAGGTGATTCCTCCTCCAGAGGGCTGGAGCACCTCTCCTATGAGGACAAGCTGAGAAAGTTGGGGTTGTTCAGCCTGGAGAAGGCTCCAGAGACACCTGATAACAGCCTTCCAGTACTTGAAGGGGCTACAGGAGAGATGGGGAGGGACTCTTTGTCAGGGAGTGGAGCAACAGGACAAGGAGTAACGGTTTTCAACTGAAATAGGGGAGATTTAGTTGAGATACCAGAAAGAACTTCTTTGCTGTGAGGGTGTTGAGGCACTGGAAGAGGTTGCCCAGAGAAGCTGTGGCTGCCCCATCCCTGGAGGGGTTCAAGGCCAGGCTGGATGGGGCTTGGAGCAACCTGGTCTGGTGGGAGGTGTCCCTGCCCAGGGCAGGGGGGTTGGAACTGGATGATCTTTCAGGTCCCTTCCAACTCTAACCATTCTATAATTCTGTGGTGTTTACAAAACCTGGCACACACATGGAGCATAAATTCTGGTGGCGTTAGGTGCTGCCACTATATTGCTTAACGCATCCTGCAGTGGTTCAGGCATCTCCAGGTGCTTGGGAGTGTTTTTCCAGGACCCCTTTCCACAAGTATGAGCTGCTTCCTATGCTACAAGCCAGATGGTGGCTGTAGATGGTGGTCCACGTTGGGCAGGACTGCACAGAAGGCATAGTTGTGCCTAACTGACCCCAGGGGAGGGGACAGGAGATGGTACACAGCTCCTGCTCGCATAGTTGCTGGAGAGAGAGCAAGGCCTTCTCCGCCGGCCTATCCATCCTTTGGACCGGTGCCATCAGCAAGATGTCTCTGATTCCACAGCTGCACCGGGACCAACCAAAGCTGCGGCCATTGGAGCTCCGGCTCCCAGATGGCAGATGAAAAGTAAATACTCTCAGAGCAGCTTGCCAGCCCTGCTGGATGATTAAAAGACAAAACAAAACTAACTTCACCAAACCTTTCATCTGGCGGTCAGCCCAGCCCCAGGCATGGAAGGAAATCCAGCATGTTGGTCTGGAAGGGAGGGAGCGATGAATCACAGATGGCTTTTCTCTCTGGGTTCCTGAGGCAGAAGGGGACATCCCATCCCCGTTAGCACCCCAAATGTACCAGGAGGACAGGTTGTGGGGCGGTAGGTGTGTGTGTGGCTCTGCGCTGTGGGTCAGAGGAAAGGCTGTCCCTAAAATGTGCAGGCTTGTTTTTACATACAGCGATACGACTGTTAATTGCACACACGTGCTTGTAAGAACCGTAGCACGTCTATACGCAGAACTTGATGGGCCATATCCATATTTTCAATGAGTTTTATGTCAATATTTTAAAAACATTTTTTGCGTGTTGCTAAAAGTTGCCGTCTGATACCTTATTACCTTACGTTTTTCTTGTGTGAGCTAACAGATGCAGTATTTTATAATTACACAGCACTTTGCCCGTCCAGATCTGGAAGTATTTCACAAAGATTAATTTAGGGCTCTTTACTTGTGTTAGCCATTTTAGGGATAAATGCTCCGAGTTGCACCATGAAGGTGCATGACAAGGACCGTGACCAAGATTGCGATTGAGGAGCTCTGAGCTGCAGAGCTTTGTTGGAGAGGACTCTCAGGAGGCTGTGGAGATTTCAAAAGTGAAAGACTTCTCCATTACTATGGAAAAACAATATTTAGCTTCTTTCACTTCTCCATTACTGTGGAAAAACACACCATTCGCTAAATATTTTGTGATGGGTTTTGAAGTTCATTGAGGTTTTCATTTTCATATAGTGTACTAAAATGGATTTGAAAAAGAAACATAAAGTATTATATGAGTTTCCTGTTGAAGTCAGTGGCGTGCAAACGGAAGGGTTTGAGTTACAGAAGCTTTTTGAAATGTCAGAGGCAAAAGGAGTGGAAGCTGTAGCTCCACTGAAGTCAATGGCAAAACACCCATCACCCCTCGGCAGGATTAGGGTCTCATTCAGTAGCTTGACCTGAAGAGAAGCTGCATCAGACGTATATACCATGCTGTGGTTTCATTCATCATGGTGTGAGTTTATCTTCAATCCTATAGGGTGGTTCTCTAATCTCTCCTCAGAAAGGAGACCCTAACCCTGCTGATGAGATCATGTCCCAGCAAAGGACAGTGAGCAGATAATGTATTACCATTCCTCAGCTGAGCTGCAGTAACTGGTGCGCGTGAAACATAGGGTTTTTTCTTAAATTCAGAAGTAAAATGCATTAATTTAAACTGCTCTTCTGTGCCCACACACACACATACAGTGGACGTAAGTAAAAATATACGTGCGTAAGTAAAAATATATGTACATAAGTAAAAATCTGTGTATATATACACTTAAACAGTTTCATGGGATGTTACCCAACCCATCGCTTTTTGTTAACATGGATCAAGACAGTACAATTTTCTCCTGCAGAATAGCTGCAGGTTAGGGCAAAGGGCTCCAAATGCTTCCTCAATACTAGCCACATGCTGCAGTTTTGGCTGTAAAATCTGATTTCTTTTGGAAACTATTTTCTGCTTTTACAGAGTTTAGCATAGGATTCTGGAAAGAGCAGTATAAGCATTTAGAAATCCAGTAGAAAGCATTTAGGGATGGAGAAAAATATTTTTGTGCCTATCGTCCCATACACAGAAATCATCATCACCAGAACCTGCTGGTGCATTTCAGCCTCAGTCTGTGTTAAATCATCTGGAATGACACCTCAGGAATCAAATCCAGAAATACCTGTAACTTGTATTTACTTATTATTTTTCAGGTTGATGCTTCTTGATGGATGTCTAGTTGAAAAATGGAAGGATCAACTAAACAAAAGATTTAAGGTAAATGCAACCCAAGCAAAGAATGCTGATATTCTTGATAAAAAAGTTATACTCCTTTGTTCTGCTCGAGCATTGAATAACTTGCTTGACTTTCAGATATCCATAACATCTCTGGGTATTATTATTTTCACTTCAACATTTTCATACTCTGTAACTACATACAGATGCAAGTGAAAATTCAAAATTTTTAGTCTTGCATTTTAGGGTCTCTAAAATTTTATTTCTACTTTATCCTCGAACTGCCCCCAAACAGGATGGTTAGATGATCTTTGTGTGAACTCTAACTTATTACAATAATGACCCTGAGAATTACTTTCCCATTACTACTAAGGCATTCAGGAAAGGTTTCAAAGCATTAAGGAGATGCATGCATATTTATTTTAATTACAGGCTGATTGGCAATTGATAGAGAGGAGGAAAAAAAAATGCATGTTTCCATCAGTTCATCATTCCCTTCTTTCCTTGCTTACTCATGTAAAACCTATTTCGGAATACCAAAACATCCTTTAAATCTTTAAAAAATAAATATATTACAGTTGCAGATGACACCATGTGGGATTTAGGAGAATACTGACATATGATTCGGACTCTTGAAGTCCCTCAGCTGTCAACTTAATGGGCTGTTACTGGCACACAGCGTGTTTTAGTGGCCCCCTCACTGTTTTTTCATCTCTAATTGTGGCTGGAAACCTGTTTGGACATTGATTTCCAGACTGTCAAATAGATGCGTGTCTGCCAAGCAAAATACTTCTCAAAGCATGTGTCATTCCCTTTGATATCCATAGTTTCGTAAACTAAATCCTCATTTAAACATGTGTGAGTGGGACACACCTAAATGCCCGCTGATAGTTTTTGTTTTATAAAGATGTGTATAATGACCCAGACGACACGAATATGGCCAGTATGGAGCTAGGTGTCACAGTGGCTTCATTCTAATGCCCGTGATTCATCTCTGAAGACTTGCATCCAACTTCTATTCTTGAGTTATTCACTTAAAATGAATATTTTGAGCTGACTGTAGACATAATCACAACATGGCTGGTGTCTTCTCTAGCCAGGACAAGAGTCTGAGTAGCAACAGGGTCAGTGCAGAGATGCTAGTAAGAGTAAAGCTGGAGAGCACTTCTCTTGCTCTGATTGTTGGGCAAAGTCCTTACCTTTGGGAGTTTCAGAAGAGAAAATTCATTAATAGATGGGAAAGCTGAGACCCCTTCCAGGTTCTGTTACCTACCTTGCTTTCCTTAAGATAAGTATTTCTTTTCCTAGAGGTGAAAGACTGCAGTCACTGCTGCAGGGCTGTGGATCTCTCCATCCTTTGGATGGCCTAACCTCTTAACCTCACTGTAAAAACCTGGTTTCTAACCACCGCTTTTTGGGGGTTTGGAAATCTGACAGCTATTCTCTTTGGTGGGCTCGTTGATCTAATTGCATTTTGAAATTTCTCAGGGGTGCTGCTGCTGAATGAAGTTGCAGGCGCATCATTCACAACTGTCCCATTGCAGCTCCCAACACTCTGTGATTTCGGTGGTCACCTCTGTTGCCTGTGTGTAACAAACCCTTCTATGCAGAAGAAAACTTTCTATACAGAGAAGAGTAAATACTACCTTCCCTTGTAACTGTGTGTTGAAATAGATATTGTGAAAGGATTGCCTGCTCTCTGTAGACTTTTCAGGGGAAAAATCAGGTAGCACGTTGAGTAAGACTGCAAAGAATGGATTCGCAAAGGAGTCCTGGAGTGCAGACCCTGTCTTTTTGGTGGCCCCTGGATTTCTGAAGAGGTGTGAGATGTGCAGTCACGTGCAGAACACTCACAAGATGCGTGGTTGTCATTTTCATCGAGTGGTTCTTGTGGAAATTCCCCCAACCAAGACACAATTTCTCCTGTAGACACCTGTAACAGGCTGAGATCAATGGCCCTGTGGAACCCGGCAGAGACCCGTTGAGAGCATCACTGACGTCAGAGGTTCAGGATAGCTTTGATTAAGATGCAATCATTTGTGGCAATGTCTTTGTGTAACTCAGCCTCTTTGTTTTCTGCATTTCCACAGAGGTGGGAACAAAGACTGCAGGAACAGAAGCTGCGAACGGCCCGCAGTAAGAACCAGAATGCAGGACGCAGTGGTCGGAGTGGAGCTCCAAAATCATCAACCAAGAACACCAGCCCGCTGGTCAGTGGCCCCAAAAAAGCCACTAAAACAAGAAATGGCCAGAAAGAAACCAACCCTAAAAAAGTATGAGTGTGAAAGCTCCAAAGGAAAGACTTTTCATGCACGATGAGGGTTGCAATCTGGCTCGGTCGGCATGTTTTATTAATCCAGAACTCATCGACTTAAAAATTTCTACATAGACATTTTTGCTGCATTTTCCTTTTAAAAGGTTTGCATTTCCTTTCAAGCCACTGCAAGCCATAGAGCGTAGGTTTGCACTAATATGTGGTAGGCGTATTTGAGCTGAGTCAACTTTACCCTTGGGCTGTGATTTGCAATTCCAGATAGATCTAGCCTTGGCTGCCAGAGGTTGTCCTTATGCCGGTTGTCTGCCCTGTTTCTCTGCCAGAAGTTGGGGAGCTACATGGGGCATCTCTTCTCTCACAGAATCACAGAATGTTATGGGGTTGGAAGGGACCTCTGGAGATCATCTAGTCCAACCCCCTGCCAGAGCAGGTCCACCCAGAGCAGGTTGCACAGGAATGTGTCCAGGTGGGTTTGAATGTCTCCAGAGAAGGAGACTCCACCACCTCTCTGGGCAGCCTCTGCCAGGGCTCTGCCACCCTCACAGTGAAGAAGTTCCTCCTCATGTTTAGATGGAACTTCTTAGGTTCCAGTTTGTGCCCATTTCCTCTTGTCCTGTCCCTGGGCACCACTGAAAAAAGACTGGCCCCATCCTCCTGACACCCACCCTTGAAGTATTTTTAGGCGTTGATCAGATTCCCCCTCAGTCTTTTCTTCTCCAGACTAAAAAGACCCAAGTCCCTCAGCTTTTCCTCCTAAGAGAGATATTCCAGGCCCCTCCTCATCTTTGTAGCCCTCTGCTGTCCCTTCTCCAGCAGTTCCCTGTCCTTCTTGAGCTGGGGAGCCCAGAACTGGACAGAAAGTGTAGTGGTGTAGTTGTTGGGGAGTTAGGCGTGTGAGTTATCCTGGTGGGCTGAGAACCCTGGCATCCTCTATAATGTCAAAGGTCCCTTCCAACCATGAAGGTTCTGTGATTCTGTGGACCAAGGATGGTAACCTCTGGCCAACACCTGGGGCAGCAACCACTGCAGCTGCTGGAGCTGAATCTATCTCCTCTTTGGGAATCACGGCCCTTCTTCAGAGCATTCAGAAGCATAGTTTACCAGTAAGCACCTGGGTACACACTACGTGATTATTTTTAGGTGTGTGCCACAAACATGCTTACAGTGTTAGCATTTGATCTTGTGGGTTTGTGCAGCAAAAATGCATTGAAAGCAGACATTTAATTTTTTTTTTTTTTAATTGTACTTCAGGCTGGCTTCTGTTGTTATAATTTCAAATATATTTAAGCATCGTATTGAAAAATCAGTATTTTTTAAAAGTGAGATGGATCTGTAGCATTCCTAAAAGTAATACTTTTGTTTGCTGTAATATAACTTTGTTCTGAAAACTGGAATAGAAGCATTATTCTAAACATAACTGACAGCTACTGTACAGTATTAAAGAGAAGATACGGCTTCATGTGGCTCAGTGTTCATTTGGATAATTTTATATCATTTGACACCATATTTCTAAATCTTACCCTGACAGCAAATAAATAAATAAATAAATAAGGCTTGTCCCTATTCCTGAGCTTCTCAAAACAACCGGCTGTCTGCAGTTTAACCTGCCAAGGGTCACAGACAAAGCGGATGCTTTGATTTATGTGCTCAGTTCTACTGACAACATCGGCCATATGAGGCATTAAAATAGCAAAGGTGATATAAATCTACTTGGCTTAACTCCAGGGTGGCATTTATGCTGTTCCTGCCCAGGCTCTACCCCGATACGGCAGTTTGGGTACTACAGTCTGATTTATATTACAACGTTAATGAGGTGATCTTATGTGTTAAGAGCTCATGACAGGCATCTTAAAGACCTTCAAGAATTCCTGCTGCAAACCTAATGGCTAGACTGGGCAATTCTGGTATCTATAAAACGAGTGTTTCTAAAACAGTCTACGTCAGGAAAGAAAAAAAAAAAAAAAAGAGTTCTGTCTACATTAACATAAAGAGTTACAACTGGTCATACCAGTATATTGATCTATGTTATTACAAGAATTCCAATGACATTTGCATGCGTGGAATTTAAGGCAAGAGTGATTTTGGTAGTAGCAGTAATAGACTTGGTAATCTGCTAACACAAGATGTAGGCACCAAGTTAGAATGCTTAAAACAAAGGGACAGAGATGTTGCAGAAAAATGGGACAGTGTATAGGGTAGCCCAGGGGGGAAAGAAACCAACCCTACACGATCCTTGGATGAATTTTGGTCACTGGGTCAAAATATGCAAAGGTCAGCATTTGAATGTAGCCCTTCCTGCTAATTCTGGGCAGGGGCAGATGCAGAACTTTTACCTCCATGGAACATCAGCAGAATTAAATCCAAAATTCAGTCCAGGTACCAGGAATGCTGAGTGTATGTATGTTGTATCTGTTGACTTTAGTGGGAGTTACGTGTGTTTGACATGTCTGAAAAAAACAGACCACAAACTTAGGTGCCTAAATACAGGCTATAGGTGAAATCTCAGTCCTGTATAACGAAATGGAAAAACTGAAATTGAAATCAAGCAAGACAGAATTTTGCTGCAGGTGACTAAATCAGGTGAGTTTGAAAATGCTGACTTAAGTAACCACGATCTGAAAGATCAGTGTGATTGGAAAGCTTCTGAAATAGTTTTATCTACTCTGCAGCAGGAGTTCTTAAGCTTTGATTACATGTTGATCTCAATTTAAAGTACCCCAATAAATATGCATAAGGTTAGCTATTGAAATGAATGACCATCCTATCACTGTGATGCTGAAATAACAAATACCAAAGTTGTGATATTTCACTTTAACAGGCTTTATTTTGAACATAGTCAAGTGTCATGTTGTTGAATGAAACTTTTGGAACAGCTAGCTAGGCTTCATAGCAACGTCACGTATTATTTTACAACTTTTAAAATCAAACTTTTTTCATTTTTTTATGCTGGAGAGAATAAAAAAGGGAAAAATTATTTTCTCTAGAGAATTCTCACCATTCCTTCTGTAAATTGCCATCATTAGACTGACCATTCCACTATGTTGGAATAAACTTTGATGCACTGAGCTCCGTGCTTCCAAACTCCTTGACATTTCTATGTATGCTTTATGCTGACTTGACTTTCATTCTGATATGGTAAAAATAGGGAAGGAGGAAAGGCAATGCAACAAAATGCAGTGGATACCATAATACAAAGAACAGATGTGCAGACGGGGGAGATGAATTAGTAAGATAATGTGTTTTCTTTTCCCAAATTTGTTTTTTCTACTTTTTAAGAAGCCATGAGTCTACCCAGTGCAGCACTAACAGAAGTCACTCCGTTTCGAAAATCCTAGCACCAGAGTCAGGAAACCTCAGTTTAGTGGAGTGGGCAAATGGTCTGCTGATAGAGGAAAGTAATTACCCCACCTATTTACAGCTGGAAAAATTAACAGGCCAAAACTTGAAGTGTCAAATGTTTTTTGTTGTTGTTTTTTTTTTTTCTCTCTGTGTTACAGCTGCCTTCCTACTAAGGGCTTGGCATTTTTTTTCATATAAAATCAAAATTGCCTGGAACGCAGATGTTTCTAGTGTGTTTCTTACTACCTCCCACACGCATCTCCCCCGTTTAGTGAGAAGTGCCATTGAATATTTTCGCTGGATGTTCTAACCTCAGTTCCAAAAGCATGAAACCTGAAAAAATATTTACTCTGATTGTGAATAATTGGCACAAGTTTAGAAGCTCACTGTAAATGCAAATCGGAACTCTTTTATGAACCACACTTAAAAAAAACCCCGACAAACCTCATAACCCCCCCTTCAACAGGCCCTGAATGACCCGGTCACTTTAATTCAGCTCGGCGTTGCAGCTTTGTTGCTTTTGTCCAGTCATGGCATAGAACTGAGAAATACTTCCTGTGCAAATAAAAAGATTTTCCAGTCCAAAATACTCCAACAGCTCTTAAATTATTTTATCCAGCATTGTAACCTAGATTCCAAGTGAATGAAACCTGAAAAAATATTTACTCCAATTATGCACGACCGACACACGCTTCTTGGTTGTGCTTAGCAGTTGAACGTAAACGCACATCTGAAAATGTTTCCTCAACCAGATTTTTCTGGTAAACCACATCAATTCCAATTAATTTTGTAAATCAATATAAATCCATTAATATGGGTCAACAAAGATTCAGAACTATGTTTCCATTTATGGTAAAAAAAAACCAACCCAACTCGCATGGACCTACAAATAAGCATTAAATTTCTATAGAGGTATGTTATTTCTAATTAGAATTAGTCAAGTCTCTACATTTGATTCCAACTGCTAACGGTGTATTTCTTGCAGCATCTCTGAAGTTGAACACCATCTTCATTGGGAGGTGAAACAGGATTTCAAACTTGCTGCTTAGAGATGCAGTAAATTCACAGAATCCCAGGTAATCTATTAATATCAGACTGGCTCCTGTTGTTTCTGCCGAAAGGCTTGTGGATAAACCAGCGTGGCAATAAGCAGAAAGGAATGCATCCGGAAGGGAGGACACACTCCTTTTCTCTAGGTGAGAATACTAAGCTCAAAATCCAAACTATGTCAGACGGTCCATGTTACAGGTAGAAGGTGAAAGGATGCATCAGAGCGACCAAGAGATGCCCCAAAGAGACCAACACCCTCAGTATTCTGATTCCTTTGGTTTACACTATGATAAAAACTTCAGTTTGTAGGTACTCGGAGCACATCAGTATTTATCCTCTGAGCGAGGTAATCCAAAAGCTAATCATTTGCTCACAAAAAACTGTGGCTAAAGCCAGCAGACACTTGCAAGGTCTGACTTTCCAGTGCAGCTCATTCAATAGTCAGAGCAAAGGAAAAACAGTGCAGCCGTACACAACCACAAGCTGATTGACTCCATCTTCTTGGCGGGGAAAGAAAGCTTTTTCACCACTTCTCTTATTTTATTATGCAGTAATTCAGCACAAATACTCACTATGATCAGACACACTAATTCTTCTTAAACAGTATTTTGAGAGTTAGAACCAGCTTGTTTATCGTTCTAAACCGAAACAGATCTTTAATATAGTCTTAGTGTCAGATTATGATTTCATTAAAGTTCCTAAACAAGGAAATATGTGGTCTGTTGTAAAAATAAACATGACCTGTGGTTCCATTTTTTCTGCTGCTGGGACAAAAATCAGAAGAATAATTGTTATCTTTTGTTAGTGTTGGAAGAATTTTCATCACATCTCTGCACCACCTAATTCTATGCTGAACCGCAAGATGTTTTCTAAATAAACAGTCGTGAAGGTCACATTCTCTTTTGGTCTGGCATTTAGATAAGACATAAAAGGACAGAACCAGACTTTCTGTAAGATTTGCAGGAGGAATTGTGCAAATTTAATTGCAAGAAGATTTTCATCGGTGAGGCTCAATGGAATTTATGTTGGAACACATTCCTCCTGACTATAAATGGAAAAGCTTGCTGACACCATCA